TTCAAAAGTTCTACCCGTTTTCAAACTTTGACTTTGATTCACCATAGCTCTTCTCAGAAATAATCTTTGCAAATGCTATGAACTGTATAACAATCTGACAATCTTTTGCTATTCTGCGCACTCTTCAAGATTATTGCAGTAGCAGTGGAGAAGATTTTATAGGCGAAAACCGACGAACATCTCCTTATAGAAACCTTCACTTTGCAAAAGCATAACTTGATTTAGAATATAGCTGAGTTGCACAAGCACTGCTCACAGTGTAGCCCATAGTCGACTGAGTAGTACTGCTAGCTTGGATTTCATCAAACTCTTTCTTAAAAATTTTTTGCTGAAAAATCCGAAAGGACCCACTTATTTTGCTCTTTCTGAGGCGGCAAGCAGTTTTTTGACATTTTTCATTTTGTTCGCCGTTGACAAACCAGGAAATCTTTTCGTTCTTCTAGTAGCAGTTGTTCTAGCTCTAATCTTACTATATAGAGTAAAAGTTTTGCGATTGCAATAAGTTTATGGCTTTTATGCGGATTGAAGGGACCATAAAGACAGGTTATGTTTGAGCTAAAAATTTATAGGTTCAAAGTTTTTCTGAAATCATATCTCGATGAGCGTTTTGTAGCACAAGTCTCCAGCAAACATTGTGTATGTTTTAAAAGAAATTTTTTCTTTTGGCCGTAGATTTCACGGCGATAGGGCAAAGACGAAAATTTTCACATGCATTTCGCTGTCTGTTCAAAGTGCGCAACCACACAGCGAACAAAGATCTATGAAAAACGAGAATATGTCTGAAAAACTAGAAGAAAAGAGCTTTTGAATGATATAAGCATTGTTTATGAAAAATGGTTTCTTCCTCCGAAATCGGCAGTTCAAAAAAAGGCATCGAAAACGGGTAGAACTTCTGAAACAACCCAATACAATACCATTCACAGAACGGGAATTCCGCGAAATTCCAGAAATTTTGCGATTCCGGAATATCGCAAATTATGCAGCGCCATAACTTCCTTCGGAAAGAATTTATTCTGAATCCGAAAGCAGCATTGTGTTCAGCTCGTCAAGCCAAATCTTTTGGTATGCAAAATGTCCTTGATATCTCGATTTCAGTATTCTTGAACCTTTCTGCGGACGTCTCTTCGCAAAGGTTGAAGCTGCGCGTACCGCCCCCAGTAGATTCAGAAAGAAATTTTCGATAGTACTTCTTCTCAAGGCGAATCTTTCGACGTACGTCATGTCATCTATATCTTTTCCAGTTTTCTTAAATTTTTTTGAGGAGGTTTTTTTGCAAGTATGTAACGCAGCGCCTATCCAACATGAAAGCTTCCAATAAGCACTATTCGATAGCGCTCTTCTTGTACATTATAGTGCGTTAGAAAGCTGCCGCAGACTTCTTTTCAAAAGAGAAAAAAGCGTTGGCAAATTTTGGAAAAAATCACTCGTTTCCAGATTCTACTCGCCGTAACTTTCTTTGGAGTGGATATTTTCTGAATCCGAGAAAAGCATTGTGCTCAGCTCATCAAGCCAAACCTTTGGTATGCAAAATGTCCTTGATATCTCGATTTCAGTATTCTTGAACCTTTCTGCGGACGTCTCTTCGCAAAGGTGTGAAGCTGCGCGTATACCGCCCCCAGTAGACTCAGAAAGAAATTTTCGATAGTACTTCTTCTGCAGATTATGGGGCGCTAGAAATTAGCCGCACACTTCTTTCCAAAGGAGTTAGAAGGGCTGGTGAATTCTGGAAAAATCATGTCGTTCTAAATTTTTCTCAACGTAACTCTAAAATATGAAGCTCCTTGCTAAGCAGATGTGATTTTCGTAATCAGCAGGTCGGATAACCCTTATGAGCAAGTTTTCCAAGATGTTCGAGTAATTTCATTTTTTCTCGTTTTGCGCTCTGAAGCTGGCCGATTTGTTTTGGTCAAAATGTTCATGCTCCTAAATTGTAAGGAAACTTCGCTTATAGGGGTTTTCGAACACGATCTTTACGAAAATCAAGGTCTTTAAGGATTACAGGGTCTTTTTGGTGAGATACGGTGAGGTGACTGTAACTGTCACGAAAGTGCGTAACTTTGCCCGCACTTCTCGCGTGTCTTCAAAAAACTTGCTTGCTTGCTTGTCCAAGTCAAAGTTAGTAGGGACTGTGCTATCGAATGGTGCATGCCTCAGACTCCACTCTACAGAAATCGCCGAGTTACGAGCCTACGAAAACACATCCTCATGAATTTTGCCCAAAGTGTAAAGATCGCATATTTCGTCGAAATTCCACCTTGAGTGCTTGTATGACACTCGCATTGCGGATATTGTGTTCGCTTCGCCCAAAGACTCCCACTGTATTGAATATGGTACTTGCGTATGCTTCAGCTGCTCAGTTGAATATCAAAGCTATTTCGGTGGCTAGAACTCAAACTACGAAATCTAACACAATAAGATCCATTAAGGACGTGAAAAGATTTGATCAACGTGTTACATAAGCACTCTCGGTGGAACTTCGACGAAATATGCGATCTTTACATTTTGGGCAAAATTTATGAGGACTGGAGATTTTCTTGCAAGAACATATTTCTAGGGTGAGAACGTACCTCGGTCACTTGGAGATTTTAGGCCTGAAATCTCCTTACACTGAGAAATTTATTGAAATTTGATATGCTTTAAAAAGCGCAAGAAAAGCACTTCCTAATGATACTAACAATACCGCATTGGAGATGAAATTCTCTTACAAGGAAAGGATGGTTGGTCGAAGTGGCCTTTTGAGATGAGTTGTATACCATGTTAGAGAACATAAAACGCTGATTCCAAATCTGTCTTATTTATCTGCGGCGCATTTCTGCACGAGAAGTTATGAGCGTTTATTGGAGAAAAAAATCTAGTGCGCAAATAACACAGAAATAGTAGTAACATTTTCATAGCGCTTAAATAGGCTATCTTATATATAAAGCTGAATGTCTGTTTGTCTGTCTGTCTGTCTGTATGCTTGTCTGTCTGTATGTATGTCTGGACGTATGTTCCGAATAGAAAATTCCATTTCTGAACCGATCCGGACCAAACTTGGCACACATACACTATGGGCCCCGGCGGGTGTCATAGGCTACTTTTCGTCATCGATCGATATCGATTTTATCGATTTTTATCGATTTTTTGCTGAGTTCACCTACGGGGCTGGGAGTTGGCACAGGGGGGTAATCGAGCATGGGGATTCCGAATAGAATATTGGTTTTCAGGATTATCGATTACTTTTATCGATTTTATCGATTTTTTTGCAAAGTTTGAGCTACGGGGCTGGGAGTTGGCACAGGGAGGTAATCGAGCATGGGGATTCCGAATACAATATTGGTTTTCAGGATTATCGATTACTTTTATCGATTTTGTCGATTTTTTGCAAAGTTTGAGCTACGGGGCTGGGAGTTCGCACAGGGGGGTAATCGAGCATGCTGATCATCCCCAAGGGGGGTGATCAGCATGCTCGATTACACCCCTGTGCCAAATTCCAGCCCCCTAGCTCAAATTTTCAAAAAATCGATAAAATCGATAAAAGTAATGGACGATCTTGAAAACTAATATTGTATTCGTAATCAGCATGCTCGATTACCCCCCCCCTGTGCAAACTCCCAGCCCCGCAGGTCAAACTTTACAAAAAAATCGATAAAATCGATAAAAGTAATGGACGATCCTGAAAACTAATATTGTGTTCGTAATCAGCATGCCCGATTACCCCCTGTGCAAAATCCCAGCCTCGCATGTCAAAATTTACAAAAAATCGATAAAATCAATAAAAGTAATCGAAAATTCTGAAAACTAATATTGTATTCGGAATCCCCATGCTCACTTTCCCCCCCCCCCCCTGTGCCAACTCCTAGCCCTGTAGGTGAACTCTGCAAAAAAATCGATAAAAATCGGTAAAATCGGCATCGATCGATAACGAAAAGTGGACTGTGACACCCGCCGGGGCCCGAAGTGTATGTGTGCCAAGTTTGGTCCGGATACGGCGGAGCCGGGTAAGCCAGCTAGTTGACAATATTTTCAGCACTCTATAAAATAAATACTCTTAAGTGAGATTTATCTGCACTCCGGCTGTCGTATTCAAGCGCAGGGAAAAGTTTAGCAGCTTTTTTATCCCAAAAAACATTCATTTTTTTGCACCTTTAAACGCTCATAACTCCTCGTCCAGGAATGCGCCGCAGATAAGGAGGACAGATTTGGAACCAGCATTTTACGCCCTCCAACATGGTATACAAATTATCGTAAAAGGCCACTTCGACTGACCATCCTCCTCTGTTAGAACAGCTGCTTCAAACATGAGGCAAAAAAAATCGGACAGAACTTATGCAACAACCGAATATATGTACATCAAGGATTCATTTCAACTTATCCTCTTCTTAAGCGGAAGTGTCAAGGCATTATTCAGCAAACCGAGAGAAGGCCGTCTCCGGAGTAAACCCATCTCTAGCTACTACTATAGAAGCAGCATGTAATGTGTGCGAAACAGCTAGTAGCTTAGCACGTTCTCCGCGTGTGAGTAGTTGGCAAACTGTAAGCCCCGTTCTATAACGGTCTATTGCAACGTCACAGCCTGTTGTCTAGTGAACCCTTGAGAGTAACTGTGAGAGTTACAGCTGCGCTTGCTAATAATTTGTCATGTCTCCGCGAACCACTCACTGGAACTGTACGATTTCTCTTTGCTTTTTTTCTGGATAACGATATATAGCTTGTGAGAATGCTATCTCTGCTGAGCCCGCTCTCCAGATTTGCCTCATTTCCTACTACCGCCAGAAAATATACCGTTTTTTTGGAAAAGAAACGTTGATTTATTGCGAGTGCTGTATTACTTTTATTTGTGTTATACCTCCTTCACATTTAAGAAAACAAAGCTATGGTAATAACGGCGCGAAACTTTTTATTAGACTGTATTTATCGCAAAGTCTCTCGTACGCGGAAGAAAATTATGTAGGGATTTTCAAATTACCGCTTGCAGCTAGTTCCATACAAGATTTGTTTAAAAGAGAAAAGTTACTTGCCTGTATTTTCCGCATTCGTGTACGTTTTACTACTAAAAAAGAGGAGTAGATGAGTCTATAAAAGCTTGGGAATAGAAAGAGTGGACGAAATGCAAGTGAACCTACCACTACCATTAGTAACAACTCCATTTTCAATTTTTTCTTTCGCCGCTGCACTTTTATGCTCATTTTGTGTACATATTTCCAGCTGCTGGGCAGAGAAAGGCTATATCATGTATTATCATTTATCTCTCGACAAAAAATGGAACCATATTGCGAAATGCTACAGCAGTGTAAACATTGCAGTGGCGAAAAATTTTTGCCTTCAGGGACTTGAATGCAATGAATTCAATTTACTTGAAAGCATAGGTTTTATATCTAGCCTTTCAGACTGGTGGGATACACATGGTGCTTAAAAGAGTTTGCAGCGTTTCCCTACATTGATTCAGGGCGACAGCAAGATCCGTACTTCTTAAACCTGTTGCTTGAGCAGTGTCTCACTCAGGCCCCAAAAACCGTCCGCATCCTCATTTGTTCATACTAGCCTAGATGCCGCCTCTATAACATATTGTCATTTATTTTGCATTGACCTTTTCAAACGGATGTCACTACCGCCTATAGTTGCGATAGGGAGAGTGATGGATCTTACCCCCTCCACTTTGAGGCCAAACTCCCGATGACCCCTTCACCTGGGCTGAGATTGGTATTGTACTCTGAGAATATGATAAAAATCGTTATTAAATGGTTTTGCAGGCTTAGTACCTCAAACAGCAATTACTCATAAATTTACAAAAGAAACGGTATTTATGTTTATTTTATATTATTTATTAATTCTCGTAACATTCATTTGGAGAGCAGAAAGTGAGGACAAAAAGCAGTTGGTTTTTGGGGTACATAAAATCCCTCATATCTCGCGGCACAGAAGACCTAGAAAAAGGCCGGTCTACGTCGATTCTCCATGATCTCAGCTTTCGAATGGTATAAAGCATGTTAGGGCTTTTTTGCTTCACGGCTCTAAAAATCATTTGCTCCGGTCCCATAAAAGCCAATACATTGTATAGGTCGTCCCGAAAGTTTTTGCGCACGATTTTCAAAAGTTCATAACTTCTGATTTTTCCCACCGATTTGACTGCTTTCACTTTTATGTGAAAGGGTAAGTCATGCCCTTTATAATGACATCTCAGCTGCTTAGTAGTGATCATCTTTTGCATAGATAGGAGCGATAGAAGAAAATTTTCTGTGTAAGGCCATGAAAAATCGGAGACTTGCAACAAAAATCGGAGCAGTCAGTATTGTAGGTTCCTTCACCAGCTCTTTCTAACAGTGCAAAGTTTGCGCTGATTGAGGGTCTCTATGAAAAGTTATGATTTTCGAGCAAGCAATACGAAAGGGCAAATTTGGTTTATTTTAGCATTTTTCAGGGAAATCATAACTTTTCTAGAGACGCTCAATCGGCGCACTTTGCAACTGTTAGAAAGAGCCGGTAAAAGAACCTACAATACTGACTGCTCCGATTTTTGTTGCAAGTCTCCGATTTTTTATGACCCTACACAGAAAATTCAAATTTTGACCGACTTTCTTCTATCGCTCCCATCTATGCAATAGATGACCATTACTAAGCAGCTAAGATGTCATTACAAAGGCATAACTTACCCTTTCACATAAAAGTGAAAGCAGTTGAATCTGTTGGAAAAATCAGAAGTTATGATTTTTTGAAAATCGCGCGCAAAAACTTTTGGGGCGACCTAATAAGAGCGAGGTGGAGCAAGTTAATAGTAAAAAAATGTGCTGTGGATTGACATCGTTATCAGATCTAACGGGAACGTGAGCGAACGCGTATATTTAAGCGTGCCTATCGTTGTTATATGTTCATGTTTTTTTTTGTAAAAAATGCGCTTTTGATTGACAGTTATGCCATCATTATTAGCACACACCCAAAAAACTATGGGAGATTGGTGAATTTCCACACCTTCACACAAAAACCCGCCCTTTTCTGGAATTTATACTCTGTAAACCTAGTGCTGAAGAAGGTCACTTTGGTGAAAACGCTCTAGACTCACCTTACCTAATTTGTAGAGAATGGTTGATTTCAATGAATCAAAAACTTTAAGACATTTAGAAAAATAACATGTTATTGAAATACCTCAATGTTTTGGAAAGGTTGGCAGTTTGAAGAGGAAACGGCAGGCAGAATACTTTACAAAATCGCAGATGACTCGCATGTGTTCCAGTTCCACAGCGAGGCAGAAGGAGAATTTTACGCCGACGAAAATGTTGTCGACATTGATACAGAGTTGACAATTGAGCGAAACTCTCTGATTTCCTGCATAAGGGATCCAAGCAGATTGCCTAGTTTCAATGAGGAAATGTCCAGGAAGTCCACTGCTGATCTTCAGGTTGCTGAAGATTTCAAGGCTGCTAAATTCACAAACATGGATATGAACAAAAGGAAGGTGTTAGTACAAAGCATAGCTACTGCTCTTAGATCCCGACTGGAGTGCGAACCCAATTCCGTGATTTATGCTCTTGGAAGATATTCGCCTTGTGACATTATGACCTATGATATTGAAAAAAAACAACGCGCAGCATAGTATCTACTTTTTTCGGCTAATCCGCAGATGCTGTTAAAGAAGAAGTTGAGCAGCTTTCTCGTCAGCTAACAGGACGTATGCCAGAGGAGGTGAAGCCAGAGTTCGACAAGGTCCAAAAAAGTATGCACTATTTCCTTCCCGTGTTGCGAAAGCATATGCGATCTGGCTCTTTTCCCATTACTTACCGCAAAAATCTGATGGACTTACTGGCAAAGCTAGTTTCCATTCCGACTAGCACGGGAGGTGGAGAAGGGACTTTCTATCCACTCTGTTATCAGAAATGCAGAAGTCGTACAACGATGGAGCATCTAAGCAATTACTTAAGGTTTGTCAACCTTCTACTAAACATATTGTTATCTAAAAACTTCATTTAAAGGATTGGTATAAGTGGTCCAGACAGGCTCTTACCGTATGACTTTTTGAAATTTCCTAAAAGATGGTATGAAGAAACTGCTGACTACCTGCTGACTTTCCTGGTGCTACCAGAGGGCCAGGAAAAAAATCACAAAAGCGCTTAGAAGAAGAAGAAAGTTTCAAATCCATTTTCGACTCAGAATGTTCCTAACTTGTACATCTTTTGGGATTAACCTTATTGCTTTCGTTTTTTGTTGATGCAATGAAACAGGAGCACAGATCTTCATAAAGTCAATTTTTTTAATTTTTAATTTCTTTTGAAATTTTTTTCAATTTGTGCCTAAATAAGGTACAAATTAGAGCTCTTCATACCACGCTTTTTTAACTTTTCTCTCTCCCTCCCCCCCCCCCCCTAAACTCACATACCCCTTCACCCTGGAAGGTCGGGAACAGCCGAGGCCCCCTTCACCTGGGGAGAGCCCGGCTCCCCCTATCGCACATATGACTCCTACGCTTCGATCTTCGATCTTTCACTTTCCTTTTGTCTTGTACGTATTCAATGATATATCTAGATAGGAGATAACGTCCTCTATGTTTTTGAGTATCGCTTTAGCTGGAACTGAAACGAACAATAAACATGAAACGTTTGTCTGCCGTAAAAAATTGCCACACTTCTTTCTTCCTCTTTTCTTATGTCAACAAATGAGAGAGGGAGAGAATATTATATCAATGACGGCCGATGCTGAACTATGAATTATATATTTGTACATATGCCACATGATCATGACGAAAACCTTGCAAAGCATACCTTACATAATGATTTTGCAGAGAAATCAAAAATTCAATTTCGAATCGATCCTGAACTGAAACTTTGCACGTATAGTTTTTTCATGGCACTTTTACTCTTTGAAATGGGTGTGTAGTAGAGCCCGGAAGCAGACTGTCCAGATTAGGAACAGGTTCAAATCATGGCTCGGCACGAGGATTGCAGATGCAAAATTAGGAATCGTTTTGGGGTAAGAAGCGGGGGGGGGGGTACACACACGTTTACAGATATGTTGTACGCGCTCCACAGACAAGCTACTACATGAGACGTGCAAAAACATGATGTTGTGCATTATTTTCAAAAATCCTAGTATTCTTCCATCAATCCATTAGTTAAATGTTTCGTCTACAGCGCGCATACAACCGCATGACTCCGAATTCAAAGTATGGACAACGGCTAGGAGAAGCGCAGTGCAGAGTATTGTGGAAAAATATGTGATTGAATGTTGTGGCTTTTTTATATCTTTTGCTATGGAATGGAAATATGACTCCGCAGCGCACAGATAACGATATGGCACGAGATTTGGTGTGTTTATGCCCGTGAGACTAAGCAACAAAGTATGAAATATGAAAAGGTTATGTAAATGAAGGGCGTATTTCACTTTTTTTCCAAATCAGGGTGGCATATGCCATCCTGATGCTACCGTGAGGGTTTCAAAACTCTTCCTCTCCTCTTTGTTAGGTTCCGAATAAGCGACGACGGCGGTGTTCTTGAATAAGAAAGCGCGTTCCAATCAAACAGCACACGCAGCTGGCTCGATCGACTCAGACATTCGTGGTTATAGTAAGTTTCAACTCTGTTTAGGTGGAAGTTGGACCGGCGGGATTCCGCTTCGCTACGATTCGCGCCGCTTTGGAGTCTGTGTCTCTCCATTCTAATTTATCTCGCTGAGCCAGTGGCGGTGCGGACGCGCTGCTCCACTTGAAATGTTTCGCCTACTCCGGGTTGAAAAAGACTGTAGCTTCCTAGATACCCACGAAACGGGAGACCGCGAAGAGATTGTTAGCTACGGCACACCCGCTTTTGCCGTGACTTCCAGGTTAATCGCGACACTAGAAACGAGGCGCGTGAAATTCACAACATTCATCGCAACTTCCGCTTTACTCGCAAGTTCATATGTGCGTAGTCAAATCAAGTGCGGCAATTCGCGCGATTTGAACTGCGCTCATTTTTTCCACTGATTTCGCTCTTCAGCCTACTTTTAACTGCTTTCTTCGCGTTTTCCCTCTCCATTTTCACTTCACCTTAATGGGCAATTCGATAGAAGTATTTTATCGGATTAGATTGATTGATGTGATATTATCCATGCTTTGGACTTATTTCTCGTGGTATCCTGATCGATTTTTTCCTATTTTTCTCAAAGCTTCATTTGAAGTAATAGTTTCGAATGAAAATCTGTCTAATTTTTTGTAACAAAT